TGTATGAATGCTAAAGTACTTTCTTTGCATTTTAAGTGCTTGAGAAAGAATACAGCCACAACATACTCATATTGAGTAAAGGATGTAAAACCAAGGTAGGTTGGACATGCTGTGTGACAGTGTAGCTTAATTGTGCAAGTTAAATGAGATAAAGTGTATTTTTATATTGGATAAGTGTTTCTGAAAAACTTAAGACATGTGTTGGATATTTTGCAATGAGAAGTTCTTGGAGAGAAGTTTTTAAGATGGTGGGGAAATTGTTACTTAAAGGTTACTGATTTTGTTGGTAACTATAAATGGTACGGTAGGAAGGTGCTATGGAGCTAGATTTAGGAAAGACTTGAAAGCAAGTTTCTGGAAAATGTGGAACCTTTAAATTGGTTTCAAAATGGGCAAGCAAGAAGTTAACCTCAGTTTGCATTGTCACTTAACTTCCAACAGAAATGTTATTTTAGTTGTTGGTGTGACTTTTTGGTACTCCACTACAGTTGAGAGAGCTGTGGCAAGACAGATGAGAAAGTTATTAACATTTTAGGCATGTAGTTTTATGCTGGTCTGCACTGAATTTCTTGTGATTTTTTTTTTTTTCCCTGTGCAGTGTTTCCAGAAGGTGTCTCTGAAGTACCTACTTTAAGTAACTTATGGCTTGCTAGTTAAAGTCAACTTGTTAAAATGGTAGCTCTTCCCACTTAATCTCCATCAAAAACATCGAGAGAGTGTTTCCCTGAAGAGGAACTTCTTATCCATGTGGAAAGCAACTGTTAAGCTAGCTCCAAGTGTCAGCGTATTGTGATAACTAACCCTATTTTCAGTCTCTCTGTTAGATAAACCATAAACTGCCACAGCAGGAGCTACTTCATGAGCTGTTTAGTCCCCACTTCAGCAGTGCTGTCTCCCACAAAGAGAGCATCGTGGACAATGGAGAACTGTCTGCTTTATTGGCTCAGACCTTTACTGTGTGTCAAGATCCTTCCGTGTCTAAAGTAGCTGTTAAATGAGTCTACACACTGACTTATACAAGTGCGTTGTGCCAGAAAATGATGCACAATACATTTTTGTTATAATTTGAATGGAGTTACGGGACAAAATTCTGTACTTAAAGAGAATGTCATATGCTTCTGAAGAATTTTAAAATATAAAACTCATAAAAAGTTAAGGATTTTTAAAATGGAAATATGTACGAGATTAATAAATGAATTGTGTCTTATTGCTTAATCTGTATGAGATCTTTCACAGCTTTTTTTTCAAGTACCTAAGAGCCAACATTCCTACCTCTTAGCTGCTTTCTCTCGTCTATTAAATCACATCGGATAAAGAGCTGGAAAGAAAATCTTTGAACCTCTAGAAGAGACTAGTCTTGTCAAAACACTTGTTAAACTGTTGCAAGGTGCACTAGTGAATTTGCTTTAGGTGCTTTGAACTACACACAGCAACTTATTGACCCATTTAATATGCTAAATCAAGTTCATAAATGTAATTTGAAGTGTCTGAATACATTAATACTTTGTAATGATGAGTCCTTTCCAAGAAAACAATTATTGACTGAGACTAGGCCACAACCATTTGCAGACTGTTTCTATCAAGCCTTGCCTTGCCATTCACATTGCTTGCGTTGTGCTAAGTTGGACATAAGTGTAGTCAGAAAGGCTTGGGGAACTGATGGAGGTAAAACCCTTTTTGCCTATTGACTGGCTGACTTCAGACACATTTGTTTCTGAGCCTGTTTGGTACTTGGGTGTGTAAATGGTTGTAAGATACAAAGGAGAGAGTAGAATGTGGCTGCAACAAGTGTTAAGGACTGGAGCCCTGCTACAGTGACCCTTGCAAAAATTTAAGCTACTGTACAAGATCAGGGGCAAAATCTTGTGGTGATGTGCAAAAGGTGGCAAGTTTAAATAAAGAAATATTCTAAGGTATGAGGTTATTCAGAATAATGTAGAAAGTATAGAAGGACTTAAAGCTACTGGATAAAGTAGTGGCAAATGAAATCTGATGCAAACAGAAGTAATACACTCTGCGAAGAGAAACAATCTTCGGGGAACAGTTAGAATGCAAACCTGTAGTTTCTAATAATTCTTTGAAATTTTTGACTCAATATCTGATTGCGGTGTGTGTGGGGGAAAGGCTACAAATGTTATTAGTTGGAAAGGAGGAAAGAATAAAATGGCCTGGGCTGCTATGCTATTACCCTGTTATTGTAAACTTATTTTGAATGCTGAATGTGTCATGTCTTATTTATCAGAGATTAGAGTAGAACTGGGGAAAAGCAGTGATAACTCTAAACAGCAGAATTGGTAGGATTCTTTATCAGGGAAATATGGCTGGGTGCATCTAAATATTGTTACTGGGGCATGAATGGAGAAGATGGAAAATGGCTGTTCAGTTCTCTGATCCAGTGATGAAGGGTATCAAATTAAGTGACAAGGTACCAGCTGTGAAACAAGCCCAAAGAGGTGCTGCAGAAGAACTTACAGAAGAAAATTCTATTAAGGACAGAAAAACCCCAGCAAACATTACTACTTCAGATCTTTGGATCCACAGCCTGTAAGAATCACAGAATGGTAGGAGTTGGGAGGGACCTCTGTGGATCATTTAGTCCAACCCCCCTGCTGAAGCAGGGTCACCTACAGCAGACTGCAGAGGACTGTGTGCAGGCTGATCTTGAATATCTCCAGAGAAGGAGAATCCATAACCCCTCTTGGCAGCCTGCTCCAGTGCTCTGTCACCATTAAAGAAGTTCTTCCTCAAGTTTGGCTAGAACTTCCTATGCTTCAGTTTGTGCCCATTACCCCTTGTCCTGTCACTGGGCACCAGTGGAAAGAGTCTGGTCCCGTCCTGTTGACACCTACCCTTAAGATATTTATAGGCATTTATAAGGTCTCCTCTCAGCCTTCTCTTCTTCAGGCTAAACAACCACAGCTCCCTCAGCCTTTCCTCGTAGGAGAGATGTTCCAGTTCCCTAATCATCTTCAGCCAGGGCACACTGCTGGCTCGTGGTCAGCCTTGTCATCCACCAGCACTCCCAGGTCCCTCTCCACAGAGCTGCTCTCCAGCAGGTCCGCCCCAAACCTGTACTGATGCATGGGGTTGTTCCTCCCCAGGTGCAGGACCCTGCACTTGCCCTTGTTGAACTTCATCAGGTTCCTCTCTGCCCAACTCTCCAGCCTGTCCAGGTCACGTTGAATGGCAGCACAGCCTTCTGGTGTATCCATCACTCCTCCTCCCAGTTTGTGTCATCAGCAAACATGCTGAGGGTGCACTGTAACTCTTCATCCAGATCATTGATGAATAAGTTGAACAAGACTGGGGCGAGTACTGACCCCTGCCAAGAGGGCACCTAGAAAATATTTGGGAGAGAAGTGCTATTCTAAGTTTTTTCTGTTCCTCTGGTCTTCCCTAGTCAGCTGTCTGAATTTTTTTGTATTTGGGATCAGGCAGGATTTAAGCTGGTGACCCAGTTGTGCAGGAGGGTGCCAGAGTTACTGGGCTAGATGGAACACTAGTCTGGCCCATTGTGGCTGCTCTTACTTGCTTCTTGTTTACACTTACGCTGATTATAAATATGCTTAAAATGGATGTCAGGTTTTCTTGTGTCTAGCCTTCTTGGTTTAAAGTGTTTAGTACAAAAAATAATTGTTGTTTGCTCTCTATAATACTAACTTTTGCATTTTTGCATGTTTTGTTGTTTTAAGCCATTATAATTCCAGTTTTATTTTCATACTGAACTTAAATGGGAGACTTTTTAGGGAGAAGAGATTCCCTTCTCTGAAACTTCAGAATAACATCTCTGACATCTGAGTAGTAATTCTCATCAAACTATATAGGACACTGATTCATTTACTGGTTTTGTTGGGCTTTGTGATTAATTCAAATGTTTCTGGTGCTGATAACGTACCCAAGGTATCTTGAGTGAGGTGAAACTTTGCTCTTTCAGTTGACTATCCTGTTTAACTCCCTGATCTGTTCTTGTGTTTGCGTTTTGTTATACATACTTGTAGTTTCTGAAGAGAAAATACATTTGGATATAGGAATGGTAACTTTGTTTTACAGTCTCAAATTCTGCCTATTACTTACAAAGGTTCTTCCTTGTGCATTGTCTGGTCCTATTGTATAATTTTCTGCATGTTACTCCTTTACTTGGAATATAGTGATTGATAGCTATTCTGACATAAAAGCATATTCATACATATATTTTATATGTAAATAGTCTATATATTGTGGTATTGTATGAGGAGAAAATGATTATTCATTTAAGTAGTTTGTAGTTTGGAGTTTCGTGTGTGAAGAAAAGTTGCAAGATCCTTTGTTTTTCCTTCCTTATTCTTTTCCTCTCTTAACAGAGAAAAACTTGTTTTACATTAGAAATTTAACATGTAGAAATTCCTCCTGTTCTGGAAGCCTCTACAGCTATGCTTAGTGGCAAAGCATGATGCTGTGTTGGAGATACCTGAGTTAGTATAGTGTTCAACCTGGTTTCTTTCTTTTTTTCCTCCCTATGTTTTTTGGATTAATCTGAGTAACTAACTGCTGAGTACCATGTTAATTGTCAACTCGTACTCTCCCTACCAAAGTAATGTAGTTACAAATGGCTTAAGACCTATTTAGCTTCTTTGGAATTTTAGAAAAGAGTCAGTGATTCAAGTGACTAATATTTTGCTTAAGTAATCCTGTATTGAATATTTTTGATGCGTCTGGCGACTGTATGAAGACTCTGAGTTGAAAAGTTTGTATCTCCCCATCCTCATTTACATTAGTTGATTTTGTAGAAGATTTGTCTTTATGTAAACTTGTCTCTCTCAATTTTGTAGACTCTTACTAGTAGCAGAGGCACTGCTACTAAAGGTGCGTAAAGTCTGAAAACATGACCAGGTTTTTATCTGCCTGAAGTTCTGGAGTTAGCTAAGTGAGTTCTAGATGTGAATCATATTAATATTTAAAATGTATGGTTTCTTACTTTAACCTAATTCTGAGTACCTTTTCTCTTGCTTCCCTTTCTTTAGAGACTCTACAGCGGTGGGTAATTCACTGGTCCATAAGCGGTCTCCTGTACGTCGAAGCCACAAGACCTCAGCATCTCTGACCAAGCTGTCGTTACATGATGGACAGAAAGCCAAAAAGCCAGTGTGTAAATTTGAAGAAGGTCAGGATGTCCTAGCTAGATGGTCAGATGGCTTGTTTTATCTTGGAACTATCAAAAAGGTACACAATTTTTTAACTTTATTGGAGTACTACAGTATCATGTGTTGGTTAAATATTGCAATATTATTGTCTCACTTACTTAGTATTAAATATATTCTTCTGTTTAGACCTTTTACTCATTGCTTTTACTGTATTTGTGTTTTTCAGATAAACAAACTGAAACAGAACTGCTTCATTATATTTGAAGACAGTTCCAAATCCTGGGTTCTCTGGAAGGACATACAAACAGGCAAGAACTTCAGTGAAGTAGTCGTTGTTTGGTATTTTATTTGTTTAGATTATTATATCTGTTAAATTATTATATTCTCATTATCCTAAAGAGTGATATAGTTTAATGTGACCCAGGATCATGAATTAGGCAAACTTAAAAAAAAAAAACATTTCAAACAACTCTTTATCGTTGCAGTTCCTTTTTTGTTTTGGTTTGGTTTTTTGTTTGCACATAACTATGTGCAGGGAGGGGAGAACACTTCTAAAAATAATCACATATGAGTTTATTTGGATGGGGATAGATGCTCTGTCTTAACAGAAAACTCCAGACCCTAATTTACACTGAGTTTATGTCCTCCTATTTTCAGTTGAAACAACATGATGTGGAAAGAAACCAAACACTGAAAAATCCTAGGTTTGAGTGGGGTTTTCACATTTGAAAGTAACACCATAACTGTTGCACATAAGAAACTATTACAGATTTGGGAATATTCATGTGATATAAAGAAATGTGCAATTATCAAGTGAGACATCTATTGTATATTAGCTTTTATTTTTTTCAGATATTGGGAGAGTAGCTAGTATTTTGATAATCTAGTGCTAATGAACCATGGATGACAATTTCAGTGGCAATTTGTTTTGAAAATCAGTTACAATTTCCTCATCGTATATAAGCAATGGAAATCTGATCTGGCTCTTATTGATTCTTGCTGTTTAAATGCTTTATCTGCTAATAGGAGAAGCTTTGTATTCATAACAGCAAAAAATCATCTGCTTTGTTTCAGAGAAGCTTTTAAAATACTGCTGTTCTGCTTCTCTATAGTACTAGTTTATGATCTTTGATTCATTTATTGTAACTATCAAACTTTCGTGTATGAGTGCGGTAACGTGTAGATTAAGTAACTTGTATTTTAATGCAGATTTCTACGTTGATATATGGTCTAATTGGATCAAGATGTAGTATTGTTTCCAGTTTGCAAGCTAACATTTTTTTCTTACCTCTGCTGTTACTGTGTGCTTTTGTATGCTACCAGATACGTATAAGAAGTAATAACATATTTCTTAAGTGTGTTGGAGTTTAATATTAAAGCACCTTGGGCAGGTCTGTCAAAAAGATACACACTAAACTGTGCATATATTTACATGAAAAGAAGTACAAACTACTGTAAAGCAGAACATACCTATCGGCTGTCCGGATAGGATTTGTTTATACATATTTTTTAGCCTGCATTTACATTCGTTATTGAGTTATTTAATTTTTATTGTTGCTATTAAGGAACCATGGACTGCATAGTAAGTAGGCAATATATAGCCAATAAGTAACTGATAACATATGATAAGTGATATAAATATTTGTAACACATACAGTCTGTACAAGTTGTCTGAATATATTTTTTTAGGAAGTTAGGCTACGTAACAATGTTTCTACAGTGCATGGATCTGTAACTGAAAATACAAAAAAAGCCATAGGCGTGGTAACCTTTCCAGCTGCAGTGTAATCTGAAAAAAATCACACTTTCATCTTTGTCTAGGAGCCACTGAAAGTGGGGAAATGGTCTGTACAATATGTCAGGAAGAGTATTCAGAAGCACCGAATGAAATGGTTATATGTGATAAATGTGGGCAAGGTAACTAGATATTTTTTTTTCTATTTACTGCATTTTAAAAGATGTTTTGATTTGTTTTATGAAGGAGGATATATGCCTGGCTATGACTGACTGCTCAACTGATCTTAAATTTTATAGCCCTTAGTGGCCATAAACAGCTCAGTGAATAATGATAGTCCATGTTAAAGTGACTAGCACCTGTTCCGTAAGTAAAGTTTGGTTTTTCCACTAAGAAAATTTTGAGTGTGTTGTCAATCTGTTTGGTTGGTTCTTTGACACTTAATGGTGGATAACACCTTATAGTTGCATTAAAATTGTGATGGTTAATTCTGTGTAAGCTTCTTTTGCCATTTTAATAACACTGTGGTTGATCGTTATTTATACAGGTTATCATCAGCTGTGTCACACACCAAATATTGATTCCAGTGTGATTGATTCAGATGATAAATGGCTCTGTCGACAGTGCGTTTTTGCAACAACAACAAAGGTGTGTTTCTAGAAAGCCATTTCTTAATACATCCCATATTGCATGCATACTCTGGTTTTGAAGTTGAAACAAAAAGAAAAAAGCATTTTTTTCAGTGATATCTGTTTTATTAACTTTGGTCTGAATGGAAGTTTTATATGTTGGGAATTAATACTTCTTTTAGAAATAGGTGATATCTGGCTTTCCATTTATTTTTGAACAAATATGCTAGTATTAAAACATAAATACAGGTGAAAGTATTTTACTTGATTATAGAAAAAATCTTGAAACTTTCAAATTAAAGGATTTGATAGTTTCAGATGCATTATTGTTTTTGTGAACTAATGTATTTGTTTTGGCCCAGCGGGGTGGTGCGCTTAAGAAAGGACCAAATGCCAAAGCGCTGCAAGTCATGAAACAAACATTACCCTATAATGCAACAGACCTTGAGTGGGATGCAGGTCATAAAACCAATGTCCAGCAGTGTTACTGCTATTGTGGAGGACCTGGAGAGTAAGTAAACAGATAATATATGAGAACTTTTCTCTGTAATGCAGCTGCAAACTTTGGCCCTGATCCAGTAGACTTTTATTTGTGAACTTGTTAGTTTCTCTTTCTATTGTGTGTAGGTGCTAAACTCGATACAAAGTGGAATTTTGTATTAGATATATTTAAAAAAAAAATCTCGGAAATACATTATTCATGGCTTTCATTCTCCCATCAGATATTTTGGTTTGTTTTGTCATATGACCATCACATAACATCAGTCCATTCTACAACAAGGAATAATTTATTTTTTTTTCGTTGCTGCTGTTAATGTGTTGAGATTGGATGGAATTGTTTGTTGATCTCTTGCAATTCTAGGCAGCATTTTTCTGACATTAGCTCTGTTGTTAGTCACAAATGTAAATGTATCTAGAGATTAGTTTATTAAGTTTTGTTGGAATAGACAGCTGTCTGATTCTACCATTCTACCATAACATCATACTCTGGATTGCAATTATTGACGGGGAAAAGACTTTTTTCCTCTTATGGCATTACAGAGTCCTCTGCTGGTTCTTTCTTACAAGAAAGGCAAGAAGAGGACTTCTTAAGCAGGTAGAGGTAAATACTGTGGTGTCTGCATGAATGAGTGAATGAATAAAATGGCATTGAAGATTTGAAGTCAAGGCAAGAATCCCACCAAGAAGTGAAGCTTTGGAGTTTATATTCACAGGACAGAGCTCTGGTTTGAGAATTTTGCAGACTTGGACAAACATCACCTTCAATTTTGCATGGTTCCTTTTATCAAGGGAGAAACTGAAAAAGGAAAAGAGGGGAAAAAAAAGTGTAAACTGTGAGGTTCATTTTGAGAGTTCAAGTAGTTGAAACCTCAGAACAAATGTTTGTGACTTAATGCGGCTGTGCCGTGCTTTGGAAGATAACAAGGAAGCTAATGTGAGAAGGACCTTATATGGAGTTACTGAATTCTTACCATCGAGAATTAAAAGGTCGTTGTCAGAGGAAATTAAATTTTTATTTTCTTCATTTAATAAATTAATTCATCCTTTTACTAGACTCTTATTATTCTTAGTCACTTTTTTAGTAATGATTTATTATGGAGCTCAGTGTTACTGAAATATCCTTACAGATGACTGGTCGTTTTATAAACTGTGAAAATCAGTTTGGGTCAGAAGATCCCTTGCTATTTAATTTAAATGTAATGAAAAACAATATTCAGTAACTTTTTTTAACACATCTTGTTTTTCTTTCTGTTGGTGAAGCTGGTATCTAAAGATGTTGCAGTGCTGCAAATGTAAGCAGTGGTTTCATGAGGCTTGCGTGCAGTGCCTCCAAAAGCCAATGCTTTTTGGTGACAGGTAAGAAACTTGAGTTGTAGTTTATGGTTGTCTTTATTTAAAGTGTGGAGGAAATGTCATATATGAACTTTTATTGAGGTGTCCATAATACAACAGTAGTTTCCAAAAACGGGATGGGTTTTGTGTAGACGATTACATGAAATAAAGCATGTGTTCAGGTGCTGGGAAAATGCAGTTCTTCATCTCAGGTTAATGAAGGAGGGTGGGGTGGTGGGTGATAGAGAGGTAACCAATGGGTAGTTAAATTCAAACTTTTACTGACTTCACTTTGTGTGGAAGTCCATTAAACTGTAGGTGCCAGCTACTGGGAGACTGGCAGCTTTAAAGCAGACCACTTTAGTGGGCCTATAAGTTAGATAAGGGCTTTCAAGTTCACATTGTGTAGGTGACTCATCTCTTGTATGCAACAGGCTCCATGCTTCAGGGTAGGCTGTGGGGGGGTGGGGGAATGGTGGGGTGTGTATGTGCCGCGCGCTAATAGTAGTAGTTCCCTAAACTGGAGAAAGCTGGAAGGATAGTTAGACTGATGGGAACTGTCTACATCCTCCGTTCATGTGTGATGAGTCGGGACAAAAGGAAACGAAAGAAAGTGCTGGTCTGTGCTTTCGTTTTAAAAGGAACTTGGAGCAGATGAGAGAGAAAACTGGAGAAGGGGAATCAAGGAGTATCTCATTCATTATCTATTACACTTTCTTTTATCTGTTGGTTGTGCTGGAATGTTTGTATGAAGGAACTGAGTTAGGACCAAGAAACGCATGGGTCCTTTAAATACATGCTTACACTGGTGTACAGGTTTCTGCATTTGAGAGAACGAAGTGGGGACATGACAGAGCATCTTCACTGACAAAGTCACAGGGTGAGGGACTTTGTTAGGCAACATGAAACAGTGGTACCAGGATAAAACTGAGGAAATGCCTTGTATCTGGCCTAGTAGGTACCAGCACAGATTGTGAAAGTTGATAAAGGAAGATGGAGGAAAAAGGGTCTCTTAAGTATAATATGGCTGTGTTTCTAGCCTGCCTAACTTTCATTCTTTTTATAACTAGGGTGTTAAAACACAGAGAGAGAGAGTGTGTGTGTGTACAAACACCCCCCACCCAGACACATGTACTTATACATATGTATATATTTTTAGGTTTTATACATTCATTTGCTCAGTTTGCAGTTCTGGACCAGAATACCTCAAACGCTTACCCTTGAGATGGTAAATATGAATTTAAAGAAAAAAAAAGGGGGGGGTGTGAGTTGATTACATGCTCTGTTTTTTCTTTTTGTTGTTTTGATTCTCCTTGCAAAAAAGGAAATCCACTTTCTGTCTTGAGTTGTTTCCTGAGTTGTTCTTACTGCTTGTGTGAACAGGGACAACATTTCCTTCGAAGTTTATCCTTAAATGTAGAGATACATTGCAATTGCATGCTCTTGGGATTTATTCCTGGGGTTGTTCAGTAAAGTAGCAAGCAACTACTCACTTGTTTATGTGAAGACTGAGATACCTGAACAAAGTCTTCTTTGCAGGTTTAGGATCCTGCCATTAGATAAGCCAAATATACTCAGTACTAGAGTACACATCTTGACATATCTTATAATGAGACTTAATGGTTAGTTGTACTTTGAAATCTTTAAACTAACCCATATTAGAAATTATATCCAATTTAGTGGATATGTGTGCTAACAAATATATGGTGGAAGTTACCTTGTTAGATGTTAGTTCACCAAAATACTTGCTTGAATTCAGAATTGATACATTCAACTATGAATTTGGACTTACTTAAGTATCCCATGGTTTTGACCAGTTTTGGAGTTTAAAAGAACATCATGACAATGAGATGAGGCAGATATGAAAGTAAGATTCAGAGCAGAAGGAATCACTTCAGGAAGAGAAATGACAGGACACTTCAAGATGATGTTTGCTGGATTGAGTGTTTTAAGTTGTGCTTTGTGTTCCTCTAACTATACTGTGCTAATTTCCTGGTTTTTATTCAAATATTTGTGTATTCTAGGGTAGATATAGCACATCTATGCCTTTACAACCTAAGTGTTATTCATAAGAAGAAATACTTTGATTCGGAGCTTGAACTCATGGCCTACATTAATGAAAACTGGGATAGATTGCATCCTGGTGAGGTAAGTAATTGGAATACTCTTTCTTATTTTTCCTCACAGTTCATACATATGTCCTGAAATTTAGCAACCTATGAACTGTTTTATTTTGGATGTTAAATCCTTGATTACCTTAATATCTGCTAATCCTAAATAATGAGGAGACGTCTTTAATTTCCTTGCAGAAATAGAATGCGTTTTAAATGGTGTTTGTTTTTCTGAGCTGTAAAGTTTCTTAAGTGGTCCATGTAAATATTGTTTTATTGTTTGCATGGCAGCTTTATTTATACTCAACTGTTTATGTAAGTATTTTCCTTTTTTTTCATTTTATAGTTGTCTCATATTTCTTTGATATTTTCGTGTGCACAGACCAGAAAATCTAAATGTAGAACTGAATGCAGAGTATATGGCATATGAAGACATCTTCAAAGTTTCTAAGGTGTAACACGTAACAAATTATTGTACACAAACATTTCTTCTTTCCTCCCTCTTCCAAACATGGAGTTGATCAGTTCATGTACAGGTCTACAGATTGTTTTGATCCAACCTGATTCTGCTGCTTATCAAGGCATCTTAGCTTTTGTTCACTACTATACTAGTTATTTATTTACTGGGCAGTTATCTTAGCATTAAAGGAAATCTATTTCTCCAAACAGACTGACCTCAAATTTAATGAAGAGGAGTAGTGTAGATACGTGTTTCTGCATGTAAGGTTGGATGCAAAATTTATGTCTAAATTCAAATTGGCATACTGCTAGTAGAGTACGCACTTTTTTCGTGCATGAAAATTGCTTAGAATTTTGAAGTTTTTCAATACAGGTGGCATATAACTGGTTTGAAATTTTCTTATCATGAGTTCATCATACTTTTATACTTATTTTCGGTAAATTCATACATCTGTCATCCATTTTTACTAGCAGACACAATTTGAGAATCAAATGTTGGCTAAAATGAGTAACTACTCATAAATAATGGAAAATAGTTTAAAATACATGTGTTTGGACTATGAGTGTCAATAGTGTGTTAGAAAGACAAGCAAACACTTAAGCATTACTAAAAAAAGACAATTAGTCATTATGAACATACATCTGGTTTACATTGGGATGTATGGCATCTCTTAGTTAAGTCATATCAAGTCAATAATTCTGTTATATCAAGTCTCGATTCTCACACCATCTTTTCAATAGAATGAAATGCTCTAGCTGTCTTACTGCGCAGTTTAACAAACACGTAAGCAGTGTTTAATTTTGACTTTTGTTTCTCTTACTATTGAGGGAAATGTAGAATAAATTAACATTTGTTTATTTCACATAATATAATTTTCTTAGGTTTAACTTAATTTTGTGTCAGAATGGCTGGTCAGAACAGCCATGGGGTGGATGAGGAGAGTGGAGCTATCTAGGTGCCATTGACCTGGAGCACACATGCCATTTTGGAGAAACTGAAGGCTACAGTCCTCATTGTGCTGCTCTTCCCCCTTGCTGCTTTCAACCCATCCGTGCTCAATCTATTTAAAAATCAAATAACTAAGGGGGAGGAAGGAGAGTGGAGATCCAAAATAAGTAAACTCACCTCTTTGTAAGGGGTATTTTCAATTCCTTAATCAATATATTGATTACCTTCAAGGAAACTACCTTTTTTTAAGTCTGAAGACTACATTTTTGTAGTCTTTTGTAGCGGTAGATTTTGAATAAATGCATAAATGCTGTGTTGAGCAAATCTTTAAGACTTTATTCTGAAAAGATTCTAAATGTCTCTCACTAAGTTGGGAAAGATCGTGTCCTGAAAAATTGGAGGCAAATGTATTTTATGACTTTGGTTAATCTGGTTTCTTTATTAAACAGAAATTAGAGAAAGAATAACATCTAGAATGTAATGGCTTCATTTTTTAAAAATATTTTTAGCTTGTCACTGTCAGAAATGACACTTTGGTTTCTTTCTCTAGCTGCTAATGATTGAATAAGAGGAAAAGTTTTTTAGCCATAAGTAAGATTGGAGTACATGGTGGAATTATCAGACCTCCTAAGCCAGCAATTTTTAGCATGTTATTATTTAGAATGCGATAAATATATGCCAGTTTTCTATAGTTCAGTGCTGCAGAGTTGCAAGACCTCTGGATAGCAATGGATTGTACTGAATGCATATGGTGAAGATGTGTAAAAACAGTTGTTACTTTCTTTGGCTAAAATCGGTTGAATGCCTCCCTTAACTTTGGTGGTCAGGTAGACTGACTCTGGATCTTGCCCAAAATTGTGTTAAAAGGCTGGGTTTTATGAGTGTATTTACTCATTTATTTAGGTGTTGGCACATTTAATCATTTGAGCATTTCTATCTGTCCTGTTTGGTCAGAATTGTGTTCTTCAGAAAGTATTGGAAGTTGGTTTGGTTTTTGTTTTTTTGAGCTGCAAATGTACATCTGCTCTGTAGTATTCATACTAATAGCAAAACTTTTAAACTGTTTGTCAACTCTATAATTGAAAATTAATTTACTGCAGAGCCAATTGGTGTGGCACTGGAAATATGGTAGCTTTACTGGAATTTAAAAATATCTGTCTAAATATAAAAATAATGTTATTTTAAATTTTATTACAAAAATACTTATTCTGCTATATGTCTCCAATTCATAAGTATACAATTTTTCAGAGAGAAGATTCCATATTTTGGTAGCTTGATAGGGACTAGCTACTTCAGGCTTTGGTGCAAGAAGAGGGGATAGGCTGGGTCTTAGCAAAAGGGGCATGAAAATGGATTTACTCTTTTTTTAAAACTCTACTCAACATGATACAAAATGCAGAACAGACCCAGAAAAGTTATTAATGTTGGCAAAAATGAGAATTAGGTCCTGTGGCAGGACCTTGGTTAAAATGATCACCAGTAAAATAACTAAGTTCTTGTGTCAATATAGTTATCTTCTGCTTGTGATCTCAGTTAATTTGGGACTACATGATATCACAGAAGAATTCTTGTTAACAGTCTTGTGAGGGCAAACTAGTATTATGTTCTTTACATATACTGTAATTCTTTGAGAGATTTTTCTTGTACTTCCTCTGTACTTCCGTGATTCTGTGATTCTTACAAGTGAAACTCAAATTCTTTGGCCTGGGCTTGATCCTGGCATGAATTCTGTGGTTGTAAATCACACAATATATAGGATACTGATTAATAGCCTTTGGAGTTAGGTAGTTTCCATAGCTAATATTTCATAAATGTACATCACATCCAAGTCTGTAGTTACAGTAACTCAAAGTAACTGGAATCTTTCTATTACTAAGGACTTTGACAGGTTAAATGATTTCTTAATACTTCACAGCTGGCAGATACACCAAAATCTGAAAGATATGAGCATGTACTGGAGGCATTAAATGATTACAAGACCATGTAAGTTACTGGTACTTTTTGTTTTAAATGTTGTTTGCCTGTTTAATCTGATGTAGACTACAGTCTTCAGTCTCCTTTGCTCAGTCTATCTCGTAATCACTTTGGCTGCATATAATATTTACATTTTAAATACTGTTGCTGTTTTGATCTATAACACTACATAACTATTTGAGTGTAACCGAGATCATGAGAAAAAATTGTTTTAACTTTCATCCTCTTTCCACTTCACATTCTGTATTTGAGAGTGAGGATTGCATTAGGGGAAAGAGGGAAATAAAACAGCATTACAATGAATATTCTAATTTGCATAGTTTTTTCCGTGTACACTGTTATTTTAAAAGTTGCTTTCCGTAGAGTCAGAATTTAAACAATTAATTTTAAATCATCTAGGTTTATGTCTGGAAAAGAAATAAAGAAGAAGAAGCATTTGTTTGGCTTGAGAATTCGTGTTCCTCCTGTGCCTCCAAATGCTGCTTTAAAGGCTGAGAAGGAACCAGAAGGAACTTCTCATGAGTTCAAAATTAAAGGCAGAAAATCATCTAAACCAATCCCTGATGTGAGGTAAAATAACCCAGTCATTCTAGCAATGTTGTGGTAAATCAGGGCTACTTTGGGTGTATTTTTGGTGCCTACAAAAAAGGCTTTTTAATGGTATAATGTATTTTTTTAAAATAACTGTAAAAGTGGACTATTTGTGAGAACAAGGTCTTTGAACGAATTTAATTCACTTTCTATTAGGATCCTTCTAAAAAAAAAACAAAACAAAAAAACAACGTGAAATTTAGCATTAAGAACCATAGAAATTATCCCAACTTTGTTGCCCTTTGGGAAACTAACTCTCTTGCCTTTCTGGAGTTGTTACACAATAATCTAACTGGAATTCTAGATAGGAAGTATGATGTGAAGTTGTAACTTGTATTGGTAAATGTGCTATCTTTTTTATGAAGTATCACCATATGAATAAAGAACATTTAACACTTGTTTGTTCCCCTTCAAGGTTAGGGAATCAGTAAGGTCACTAGAAAGATCATGTATCTGTTTGTGTTATTCTAGAGGCAAAAGTATCTGGCTTTGTACCTGACAATTTCAATTTACCAGAATAACCTCATTTAGCACAATGTTTTAACAGTAGACATCTAATCGTGTATTCATTGCCAAAGGAAAACGTGTATTCAATTAAAATTATCTTTAATAATACAGAACAAAATATAAATTTTCTTCTAGGGAATTAAGTAATGGTATAGAAAGAAAGGGGAAGAAAAAATCAGTAGGTCGTCCACCTGGTCCCTATACGAGAAAAATGATTCACAAAACTCCAGAGTCGTCTCCTCTGGTAAGGTTTTGGTTTTTCTCTTCTGCTCCAACCCTGCCTCCCCCCGCCCCAGCCCCTTTCCCTCTAATTGGGTTATCATTTCTGAAGAAAAACATTACCAGTTAATTTGAATCATGATATTCTTTCATTCACCCTCAAACAAAATTAATACAGCAATTAAAACTGAATTTGAAGTACTTTTATTTTTTCTTCCCTCCTTTAGGATAATGATTCAGTTCCAGTGATAGAGAACCCAGCCTTGGAATTACCCTGCACTGTTGGGTAAATAGAAAAAAAAAAAATCAAAAATTCCCTGTTAATACTGTGTTGTTTATCTGTTTGCTTCTGAAATGTCAGCTCAGTTTTTAAAAGAAGATTATTTTCATTACATGGCAACCCTGTTATCTCGCATATCAGGAAATCGGATGGAACTGCACATTCATCCAATACCTCAGATGTGGAATCCACAGGTGCTGCCAGTATGAAAGAAACTACCTCATCTAGCATTTCCAGACATTACAGGTAATTATGCAATTACTTTATCTGCTGTAAAGGTCAAGATTTGCAATATATTCATTTTAATATGTTTTTTTGAAATGGGGGACAGGAAACAATTGGTTCAGCAATGCTTCACCCTTAATAAACAGAAGTTGCAGGGATGCTACAAGAGATGTCTTTGCCAAAGCATGACATGTAATGTTCTGAGTCTGGTTTCTTAAAACCTGAGGTTCTGTTGTACTTCCAGTCATTTATGAACCTTTTGGCTAACTTCCATGAAATCTGATCCAGGTAGTTCCAAAGAAAATACAGTCTAACAGGCTTCATAAAGATAGATGCTTGGATGAGAGAGACCCAAGCCAGAAACCCACCCTTACAGAAAGGCAGACAATTATCTAATGATCTGTGGCCTAGTCATAGCCAGAGCTGTTTTGTTTTTTTAGTTGAAGCTTTGGCAAAATAAAGGTAGAAGATAAGGTAGAAGATAAGGTAGAACAGTAGGCTGAAGTTAAGAGGCAGCTGTAGTAGGTGTGCAATGGAGGTGAGGGTGTTGCAGAACTGGTGGGAGAATAACTAGAGAAGAACTGAGGATATTACAAAGGAGTATAATGTTGAGGATGTGGTAATTCACTGGGATTTGGAGTAATGAGCAACTGAGACTCAGAGTAGAGCTATAGATTGCAAGGGGAAATCTAAAGAAATAGGACAAAAGAAACCTAGTCTTTATCAGTCTATCTGCAACAGGCAGGGTGAGGTTTTTTGTGCTCACTAACTGCTGTTCTTTGCTGATGTAAAATACGTAGTTAAATTACTTTTACTGAAAAGAATTAAACTCCATAAACACTTCCTGAGCTTAGTTTTCTAATAAAGGTCGTAAAAGAGCTGATGTGTACCCAGAGTTAATTTTAGCAGCTTTTGTTTTTGTAGGTTTGTGTATTCATGTTAAAGAATAGTAAGTATGTTGTGATTTTCTACAGTCAATAGAGCATGAAAAATTTTTGGCACTGTCTTCATAAATAAATTATTAACTATATTATCAACTTTTCTGCAATTAAATTGCCACTTGAACTTTCCCTCTCTCAAGTTCAGTAAACATAAACTTCTCTTTTATTGAGCTACATGGATCCTCAATCTACTTATTGTCTCCTCTTTCTGATTCGTGCTGTCAAGTGTGAGTTATTTGTGTTCATTACTGCTACAAATAGTCTGTCTTCAAAAACTCATGTTTAACTTACAGACTTCTGAAATTGCTGTCTAATGACTGAAGTCACGTTTTTTTTTTAATTTCTGCTCTTTATTCCGTTATTTTTTTAACGTTAAAAGGATGTGCGTTTTTCCTCCATATGTTACATAGGAGTCTTGAACATCAAAGTTTGTGTACCATTTAGGACATTATCAAGTATGTTTTAGTATGTGCAAATTATGTATGTAGGTTTTTACAAAAGGATTTATGTCTTGGACATTTAATATTTGGATGATGGTTTATTCTTGGATAATGTCAGAAGTTTCTTTTTTCATTACCAGTTATAAACCTGTGAGAGTTTTGGATATACCTGTTTTTCTGGCCATATATAGCAAATCTTTAGGAATTCATATGTACTGTAGAAAGCAGTGATGTAGAAGAGATTTTGCAACATCTTCTCTCATATTTCAGAATTTTAGTTTAGTCAGATAAATTCAATTTAAAAAAAACCCATATGGATAAATTCTTTTTTATTTACAGTCTTAATTAACACGAAGTCTCAAACTCTTTTATAGTATAGCTTTTGTAATTGAGGCCTACCTGTGTGACAAAGGTATATTTTTAATTTACAAATTACAGCACATTTGGTGCAAACTTCTCTGGGGACAGTTTTTTTAAAATTTTGCTTAAGAATGGGATTAAGCTGTATCAAAATAATATTCTTAATGTATTTAGGCGTAAGTTAATATCATTTACCTAACCTTTCTGACATACTGTTAAATTAGTACAACTTTCATTATGTAAATAATCTTTGTTTTGCAAGTGCCATATTTATAGTCCTCTATTTCTAGGCAACGAGTAGTTTTATCAGTGAAAAATAGAGTGAAGAAGTTATTATATGAGTTGCATGGAAATAACTGATGATGAAGAATGCATTTTGAATAAGTTCCTTGGAGTTAATGCTGGTTGTTTGGGGTTTTTTTTAATAGTTTATCTGACTCGAGAAAAAGGACTCGTACAGGAAGAACTTGGCCTGCTGCAATACCACATTTGAGAAGAAGAGGTCGCTTTCCACGAAAAGCACTCCAGACTCAAAATTCAGAAATTGTAAAAGATGATGAGAGCAAGGAAGATTACCAGTATGATGAACTCAATACAGAGATACTTAACAACTTAGCAGATCAGGAGTTACAGCTCAATCATCTAAAGAACTCGATTACTAGTTATTTCGGTGCAGCAGGTAGAATAGCTTGTGGGGAAAAATACCGTGTTTTGGCTCGTCGGGTGACACTTGATGGAAAGGTGCAGTATCTTGTGGAGTGGGAAGGAGCAACTGCATCCTGACTGTAGGACTGAACATTATGTTCACTGCACTGTCATCTGTAAGTACAGTTCATAATGCAGAGCCACAAGAGAAACGTGTCTTTAAATGTGTTTCTAAAAACAAAACAAAACCAGTTTAGCCTTAACATGTAATTGTTATCATTACAGCTCTTGTGATAAAGACTTATCTTTTTAAAATCTGATCTGAAACTTAAATTTTTTAATCTGAACGTTGTTAGATTGTTTTAGGTTGGGATATTTTGGGTTACAATTGCTTAAAAATGTGCATGGTGTTTAAAAAAAAAAAAAAAAAGACATTTTCTAGAGAACATTCCGTGGATACAGTTATTGTGATTTAGAGAAAATACTATGTAGATAGCACAAATCTTTGAAAAAAATTTTGGTTTGTTTTCTTACCCAAATGTTTGCAGAAATGTATTTCTATTTCAATACTTTCTAGATTTCATAAGTGCAGTGTATATAATGCCTACTGAAGACTGTAAAATACTGAAGTTTTCTTTCAAAGTGTAAAAAAAAAAAAAAAAAGGAAAAATATATTGAGCCTGTAAATTGCTCTGTGACCAGACTTCATTGTCTTCTTAATATATTCTTTGTGTGTGTGCGTGTGCACGTGTGTGTGTATATACACATATGTATATATGCACACACATACTTGTGCGTGTATATATATGTGTGATTGTGACCTATGCAATACAAATTATGGGATTGGGCAGCTTCTGAAAATGTATCCCATAATTCTTTTTTCAGGAATAGTTGCCAGTATTTACACAGCAGCATTTCTTCTCAGGCTTATTGGGTGCTGTTGCTTTCTATGTACTATGGAAAAGTGTCAAACCAGTGCAGCGTGTTCTGGCAATGGGTGCAGTCATTGATGTTCATATGCTCTAGGTAATATATTCCATTATTTTCCATATGAGTTAACTGTTAGAAAACACTGCAGGATCTGAACATTTTGAAATTAACTCTACTGGAAATAACAATTTGCAAGTTATTGTGGCACACTGAGTGTAAATTTTGTGTCCCAGTTATAAACTAAAGTGACAGGAGTCGCACACAAGATTCCTACATATCTGTAGAAACAGTCATATTTTGATAAATGTAGTATGAACAAAGTATATTATTGCACAGGGTCAACAGTTTGTTGCCATTTGAAGTAACATTACTGATTTTATTACAACATTACCTCTTTTGTTTTTATAAAATGTACCAAGTTTTAAATTGATAAGTTTATTTTACTTGGGTTTTTTAGAGATAAAAAAAAAGTCAAAAAAGTCTCTTGCCAGTATTAGATGTTTTTTGTTGTCTGCTACTTTTGAGGGGGTTTTAGCCAAAGAGTAAACGGAAGAATATTTTTGCTTTGGTGGTTATTCACTGTACTGCATAAGGTTAGTTTTCTTAACATGCTTACAGTTTACCACCAAAATAAAATTATGTAACATTTACAAATGACAGAGTGGTTTAAAGTGTACTGCCTGTGTTAGTACTTATTTATTCCATTACTTGATTATTTGACTTTTTCTGCTCATCTTGAACATCTTGAAAAGGTGATGTTTTTAATTATTTTTTTTTCCGTCACCTTATAGCCAAAGGAAGCAGAGAAAGCTTTTTATCCTGTGCTTAGTTTATGGCTGGCCGGGTAATACTAGCTTTATAAAAATGCTAATTAGAAACTGCCACTTCTGTTTACCTTCACTAAAATGTGTGGTTATTTTCTCACGCCCTCAGCTATTAATTTAATGTTGCCTTGCCTATAGCTGCAATATTTTGATAACACAGCAACTTCATGTTAATTTTTGAATGTTTTTATCTTGGGATAATGCAAAATGTAAACCCTTTGTAACCTTACTCACACTATCTGTATCTGTCTTTATTGTTTCACTTTATCCAAGTCCTTTAATTCTAACTGAACACCAGCAGTATTTTCGTAAAGTATCATTTAAAATATTGGAATGTGCTGGGGGGGGGGATATTTGTCAAACTTAAGCTGTGCATAGACTTAACTATTGTGAATGTCATTGTTTCATTTTATTATGGTGGTTGACTTGACTCTGATGTTCAGTTTGTATTTTTGGAATTGCTTTTTTCTTAGAATTAAAAGACCAACATTAAATATGTGTATTTTTTTTGAGAGAGGAATGAGTTTTGATTCTGTATTCTTGTGAAGCACATACTTGGTGTCATCTTCCCATCCATTGTTTCTCTATCTCTAGCTTTCCTGTTACTGTCCTGGAGACACTTGCCCTGCACATAGACACTAACTAGTGTTCCAGCTGTGCTTGAGAGATACTTTGTTACAAGGTGTCATGTACTGAAAAATGCTGCAATAGCGCTGCTGAAGATACAGCTAGAGTAGTAATTAAAGCACACCTACAAATGCCTTTCTCTCGTTTTATGTGAATTTTGTTGTCTGTACTAATGGAGTGTCTAAAGGAAAAATGAATATTGCTGTACGTAACGATTTCCTTTTGGTATGACTTGATCATTGTATGTATGCATATGTGTAAATATATGTAATTCAACTTTGTTGTGGTCACTGATTTAAAAACATTTTTATGTGTATCAGATTTAATATTTTTCCATCATATATTATTTGTATTACAGTAGTATTTAGGTAGGTGAGGTCTCTCTTGAGGCCATTCTAATAATGTAGGCATCATGTGAACAAGACAGCAAAGAAATAACAGCATGTTACTGGTGCTGTACACTGAACTGTAAAATAATTGTCATAGCAAACTACTTGTCAAATTGTTCTCAACAAAAACTTCAAGAGGAATTTTGAATTAAAACTATGCTTTTCTATGCATTTTGAGTGAGATTACAAAGAAATTTTGAAAAATCAGCATGATATGTGAAATGAAAGTCAATGTTTTGATTTAACACAAAGACAGAAACAAACCAAAAAAAGACCTTGAAGGTGAAGACAAGCAGTTTGTTGTCTAGGGAGCAGGGGGAAAGATGAGTGGATAAGCAGAAAAATGGTGGTGTCTTTGGAACATCCTACTAAGGTGATCTTTAGTGTTATATTTTAAAAGGAAACCGGTGAATTGAGATGGAACGTGCCAAGGCTGGAGACGGAGCAATAGTCAGGACACAGTGATCAGGATCAGGAACAGGAGCATCAGTTGTGTGCACAGAGGGAAGAGGATGAATCTTGCAAATGCTATGCAGGTAATGTTTTCAGGCTTTAAATTGTGTCACTTCTTTCGTTCCCTCACATCTGCCTGAATGAAAATATCTCTGCAATTAAGGGTATGAGGGTAGAAAATGATATTTTGTAGAAATGGAGAAAAGGGTTTAGGATGGTGAGTTGTGTTTGGTCGATGCTGAACTGAAGCTGATGGCTAAACACCCATATATGGAGGTGTGAGATCTGTTGAGATCCTGGTTTGGTCAGAAAAACATAGTCATGCATGAGGAAAAATAACCAACTTGTCGACCTAAAGTTTGTAGAAAAGTTTATTTTTTTGTAAATTGGATCATCTGTAGGTGACGTATAAAGAGAAAGGGGAAAAGAGACTCCATTGGAGTTCCTGAAGAAAGTTGAAAGGGGAACCATCATCTTCTAGAAAAGATAGTGCAGGACGATAGGAAGAAAGGCAAAAGACGAGTACAAGTAGAAGCTGTGCACAGTCTGAGAATGAGCTTGGAATTCAGTGCTTTTGTGGTTCAGCAACAATGAAACAGAAGTTTTTGTATTGTCGTGATGTTTTTATCTGTTTTGTGTTTCTGAATCCCCCTAAATGTTCCTCTCTGCTAGCTCATCTCTGCTATTTTTTATCAGTTTTTTTCATATTACAGCATTGGGATCTGTATACCATAACATTAACAGTTGTTCTGCTTTTCATTGATGGCAAAATACTTTGCCTTGCAGATAGCAGTTTTTTCAAATACAGCTGTAGCTCATACAGTTCTTTTCATGTCATCTTTCTCCTAGTCTGTTCACTGATACTATTTCACTAGCGTGTATTTCTTTTTCACTTGTTCTGATTTATGTTTCCAGCTTCTGAATTTGACAATATTCTGTTCTCTTCCCATTATTAGCTCTTTTGTGTTTGGCATTGATTGACTTCCATGTGGTTTTGGTTTCTTAGTCTTATGTTTACTTAATGTCTAGTGTGGTAGTATTAACTTGTAATCTTGACATCTGCATTCTTACTCCAATACGCTTGTTTGCTTCAAAACCTGCTTTATAGCAAGAAGCTAATTAATGGTTCTGTCTTGCTCTAAATAAAGTTTGTTCTTCTGTGAGCACCATTTCAAAGTAATTTACTTGTGCTCTGCCATTCCCTAATGAATACTCACAAAACTGTTGCTAGTACTGCATTCACTCATGTCATCATCCAACGTGATAGTTACTGCTTTGCTAGGTACACGTTTTTCTCGCTCATGAACATTACTAAGATTGCCTACTTTGTGTGTTTCACCTGCTTGCTCTAACTTGGCATTCATAACTTCACAAATTGGCTGCATGATAGCAGAGATTGGAAAGCAGGAAGAGATTATCAACAATGGTTGGAAATTCAGGGAAAGGGAAATAATGAGTGAACAATTGGAAAGGTTTTCAGCCTTTAGGATGTTAAGATATATTTGTAGTGGTAGCAGGAGGAAAAGGTGAGCCTAGAGAAGGGGAAGAATATAAGGCAGAACTAAGAATTGATGAAGGTAACAATGCACAGTTCCTTAGGGAAAGTCATGCTTTTTGCACAGAATCCACACTCAGAACTGTTCAACAAACTGGCTGGGGAGGCGAACTGGCTTGTTGCTGAAAAGTATGTGTATATAAATACATGTAACGTGTATACTTATGTGTAGAAATACACAAGTCCAAGCAATACAATGAGAAACAACTTGAATGTATTTAATTACAAGGGGAATTTATTACTTTAAAGGAAGTCCTTAAGTGGTCTGTGAAATGCTTAATAAAAACACAGCCTTTGGACTGTAAATATATAAAAAAAAAAAATTGCTAATTCAATCCTTGCCTTCTTTCCTCCCATGCTTTTTCTTCTCTGCTTGTGGTAACGAGCCCAGGTATTGTAGGTGCTTGCCTGCCTCACAGTCATTCAGAGGTAAGTGCTGAAGCTTTAGAATGGGAACTCCTATTTGTTTGTCCACTTGGTGCCTGAGCCAGCTTCCTTCTCAGTCTTGTGTTGTCATCTTGTGGGAGAGAAGTGACTGGAAAGACTGATTGCAGGAGAGGCAGCATAAGTGAATAATGGCTGAAGCATGCTCTGGGCTGTGGGGTGGGGATGTCTGGTCCTGCCCTTTTCCTGTCCAGAGAATGTAATCAAGAGTCTTCTCATTAACTATTTGGAACTGGGATTGATTAACTGCCAGAAGCTTTTTGTATGGACAGTCACAGGTATCTTTTGACTTAACTTTGACTTTTACCACTCCCTGAAATCCTCCAGCATAATAGAAAAATTACCTTGATTAGATGGTTAATGTCAGGTCCTTTAATGTAATATTGAAATAAAGATACGACTATACATGCTTTTAGAACTTTTCTTTGGCAACTCTTATGCCTTCATTACACATCTGCATTCCAGTTTGGCAGGTAGCAGATGGAGAGTGAAGAAGGGTATCTTGTTTCCAGAAACTCGGTTGACACTAAGGGAAGAAAGGGACTTGTGAGCTGTACGGGTTCCAAGTCTTATTAACTGTCCTCAACTGTAGCAGTTGATAGCATGAGAGAAGATGATTTAATTCAGATG